GCTAGACTCGCAGTCTAGCCGTACTTATTCTTAATATGATGGCTAGACTGACCATTTACAAAAAATAGGCCTACTGAATTGTAAATATAATAATATACATTTTTAGTGTACAGTACCTAAAGTATTTGTATTTGAGACGAAACCAGGTGCCTTAATGACAGTGCATGTATTTTAAACCTCCTGTTTTCTAATGTAAATAGGGCCTAAGATAAGTACGGCTAGACTGGCAGTCTAGCCGTACTTAAGTACGGCTAGACTTCTTGTCTAGCCGTACTTAAGTACGGGTAGATAGCCAGGCTAGCCGTACTTAAGGACGGCTAGACTGTCAGGCTAGCCGTACTTAATATTGATGGCTGAATAATTGTAAATGAAATTTTTAGTTTGCAATGCCTAAAGTATTTGTATTTCAGACAAAATCAAAGGTGCCTTACTGACTTGCATGTATTTGAACCTGAATAATTACTAGATCTAGATCTAATGAGACCTGTGTACTTAACAGGCTTGAGTCGATAGGGCCAAACCTAGATCTAAGTACGGCTAGACTGGCAGTCTAGCCGTACTTAAGTACGGCTAGCCACTTCGTAATTATAGTATATGCCTACTAAAGATTGTTCGTATGCAATATGGTTCAATCGGTCCAAAAAATGTCCGCAGTAAATATTTATATAAAGAAATACTACAATTTCAAACAGTTTTTCGCTACAGAAAATATATATATATATGACGTGTTGCCTATGAAGGGTGCTGCTCTTAAACTTAATGTGTTGTGTTCACTCGTGTGCTGTCTAGATCTAGATCTAGATCTACGGAGGGTTATCGATAATGACACATAGAACTAGCATCTGCGTTTGTCGCTGCCACAACCAATCAATCGTGGCTCGACATTTTGGTCCCCAAATCGGGGAATAAAAGTCAAATAAAAAAAATAAAAATAAAAAAAGAAAGAAACCGAAACTCTTTACTTTTGAAAGAAAGTTCACCTAGCTTAACTTCGTCTCTTTCTCACTTGTCACCACGTTGATTTGTTGAATACGTTACAGTTATTTTTATTTTTCCCTCTTTTTGGAGTTTTATTTTGTTAGTGTGTATTTTTTTCTTTCTTGTTACTACTGTTCTGATGTGTTGTTTTTCTATCAATTTTATTTTGTTGGGGAAAAAAAAGGGGGGGGGGGGGGAGTGTTGTATATTGTAACGTAATTTAATTTGATGTTCCTACCTTCATTAGATTCTAAACATGTATATATATATATGTATATATATGTATATATATAAATGTGTTATGTTAGAGCGTACGTTCCACCAAAACCGATTACATGTACTGACACTGGCAGGCCCCTTAATGTGTGTGATTCCATAATTTACATGCAATAATAATATCCTGTTCTTTGTTTTAAAATTACGCACATTTAGGGTT